GCAGCAGGAGGGGGAGGTGAACGAGGAGGGGAGTCGTCTAGGCCCGCTCTCCGATAGTCCCGTCCTGCCCGCGCGGGCCACGGGGCGCGACTGGCATGGGGGCAGCGGGCCATCTTTGCAGTGCCCGCGACCGTCACTGCCTGCCGCGTATGGCAGAATACTTGTGGTTTTCATTCCACTGGGAGAACGCCAGTGAGCGTCCAGCTTTTCTGTCTTGTGTTTTTCTCTTGTCTCATTCCTCCCCGCCCTCGGTGAAAGTAGATTGCAGACTTCGAGATTTGGCATCTTGAAGTCCTTCCCTCCTCCCTGGCCTTCCCTGTTGCTGGGTGGCTCGTACCTCCCGGATGTGCACGTCTGCCCCAGGAGTCTCGGGGCAGAGGTGCGTTGCGATCGGCAACATTAGGTGACGATTGGCCGCGCTTTTTTAATGATGCATGAAACAGATGGTCGAGATGCGCCCACAGCATCCACATGGGTCTCTGCATTCTCGCCTCGGCGGCGCATCCTTGGCCGATTCTGCCTGCCAGTTCTTGTGGAAGCCGGGGGCCCATCAGGCTTGCGTCATTGTTTACGCTGCCCCCTACTCAAGACCCCCAACGTCGTGATTTGTTCCGTAGCATGAACCCCCAGAGGTTTCGATCTCCTCACCATGGCCAGCCCATCCCAAACCGTCCCTTGACAGCCCTGGTGCCGAGTGGCTCATGGAGGCAGATCAGGGGCAACTATAGGGGGGGTAGGCTCAGGGAGGAACGCATCGACCCCAATCGCCCGCTGATCGCCGATCGGGGTCCAGGAACGTGCTGATCTGCGATTTGGGGCCTATCGCTGGTCTATTGGCGAGGCACCTTCGATTCAAGATTGATGTTCCCCACCCCGTGGTTGCCCCTCAGCAGAAGTGTCCAGAACACGCATCGGCGCGCAGGGCTTCTGCACGAAGCAGAAGCGGGCTCGGGCCCCTCACACGCTGCGCCTTTGCTCTGTTGGGGGGGGAGGGACCCGGCTCCGATCCGAGGAGTCCGCGCGGACCTCCCGAAGGTCGTGTGCCGTGCCATGGTTTCTTCCTCGAGCCGGTCAATGTCCTCCTCGTCACCGTCGACTGTCGATTGTCCTCTCCCAGTCCTTCCTCCTCCTCCTCCTCCTCCTCCTCCTCCTCCTCCTCGCCGTGCCTGCCCCCCCGGGGCCGGCCCAGGCACCAGCAGCGCGCTGCGGCGCGGCCGCCTCGCGGAGGGGGACGCAGTGGGCTAGTATAGGGTGCTCGGTGCCCCCCCCCCCCCCCCAGGGCCCTCCCCCCTTCGCCCCCCTGTGGGCCCCCAGCGCCCCTCTCCCGTCCCTCCGCCCTGTTTCCCTCCGCCCCCCCCCCCCCCTTCCCCGCGCCCTCCGCCCTGTTTCCCTCCGCCCTTCGCCCCCTGTGGGCCCCCAGTGCCCCTCTCCCGTCCCTCCGCCCTGTTTCCTCCCCCCTCCCCTTCCCCGCTCCCTCCGCCGCCCCGAGGCCCCCGCCCGCGGGTGCTCGGGGCCCTTCTCCACTCCTGGCGCCGCGGATCTCCCTCTCCCCGTGCCCTCCGCTGCGAGTCGCCCCCGGGCCCCCGCCCAGGTCCTCGGTGCCCTCCTCCCCTCGGCTGCCTCGGGAATTACGCCCGTGGTGGTGCGCAGCGCGTGCCGTGCGTGGTGGCTCGGCGTGTCTCTGCCCACGTGTGGGCGGCGATCGCACGGCGCCACACTGGAGGAGGAGGAGGAGGAGGAGGAGGAGGAGGAGGAGGAGGAGGAGGAGGAGGAGGAGGAGGAGCACGCGTTGAGCTCCGCATCAACACGCTACGTGTTGCGTTCTGCGCATCGGGGCAGCCAGGCTTCTCTCTCTCTCTCTCTCTCTCTCTCTCCCCTCCGTCCGGAGTCCCTCCTGCCCCTCTCTCGCGTGCGCCCTCCTCTGCGGCGGTCGGCGCCTCATTCCCCACCCCCACTGCTGCCTCCAGTGGTTGACGCTGGAGCGAGCAGGGGCATGGATAACAGCTTGGCCCAACCAGTGCTTGCGATCCACAGGGTGATCGTTGTCTTGCTCATTGTTTTGAGGATCGGCGCGGGCCCTTGCAGCCCCCCTCCCCCCCCTCTGTGGAGTAGATCTGAGCTGTTTTGGGCGCCTGGTTCGGGCAGGTGGAGTCTTCCCCATAGGACGCACTACTGCAAGCAGTCGCGTCAAGCAGAGGTCAGGAGCTACACCCCCCCCTCTTGCCCCCCCCCTTCCGCCCAATGTCGAAACGTTGACTAAGAGACCGTTCACAGATTCTTAACGCTTTGCGTACGTATCCCCCTTCCGCACAATGTCGAAACGCCGACTAAGAAAACGTCCACAACTTCGTAACCCTTCGCGTATCCCCACCCAGCTCATCCAAGAACGATGCCGGGGGGAGCTGCCCCTGATCGTGAGAGCCTGGCATCTTTCGGATACTTCGGAGAGCCTCAGTGAACTGGAGGACTCAGATGCCTGTCGGAATCGCTTTCGATGTTTCCTTCGAGGCTCTAAGTAGTGGCCTCTTGGGGCGTCCTGGGGGCCTCTTGGGGACGTCTTAGAGGCCTTTGGGGGCATCTTGGGGCTTTCGTGGTACGCGCTCTTGTGGCACTCTTGGGGCCGTCTTGCGGCCCCTCTTGGGTTTCTCGTGGGCCTTCTGGGAGCCATCTTGCGGCCTCAGAATGCTATCGGGAGCGAGAAGGCCAACATCATTGATTAGGGATTGAGTTTGGCCTCTTCCGGGCGTTCTGAGGAGCCTCAATGGCCTGTCTTGGAGCGATCTTGGGACCTCTTTTGAGCACTTATATTGAAAGCCATGTTGAGCGATCTTGCGCTGTCTGGGGCAATCTTGGAGGCCACCTGAGGCTACCTGGGGCCCTCTTGGATCCCTTTCGGGTGATCTTGGGTCCTCTGACCGCTCGCCGCCCCACCCCGTCCAGACCCAAGGGGGGGGGATCAACCCCTCCCCGAGGGGGGAAGACGAGAGACCGAGGGGTAAACCCCTCCCCGAGAGGGCATACCCTTCTCCGAGGGGTGAACCCCTCCCCGAGGGGTAAACCCCTCCCCCGGGGTAAACCCCTCCCCCGGGGGGGGAGAGGGGTAAACCGTTCCCCTCCCACCAGCCCTTCAGGGCGTGAGTGGTTTATCAGGCGATCGTAAGTGTGGATCAAGGGGGCGTGGATTAGCGACGTGTCCCGTTTCCATGGGAAGTCGCGGATTTCCGCCGCCAAACGAGGCGGCACTGGCCCTGTTCTGGGGAGGGCACCTCCCCCGATCCATGGATTTGGCGACCGCGCGCCAAATCCATGGATCGCTACAGCGGAGGCCCATGCCGAGAGATCCGATGTCGTGATTTGTTCAATGCCGTGTCCCCGGAGGTCTCGACCCATTTCCCAGCATCGGTTTTTCATTTTGAGTCGTTTTTTGACGGTCCCGAGGCCTGGCGAGGGCCCCTAGGGGCCGAAAATTACGGATCGCCTCCGTCTCGATGTCGTCAGTACGTTGGATCTCTGGGCCCATGAGTCGCTAATCCATGCTGGCGCGCCCCCGAGTGCTGCAGGGCAGCGCCCTAAACCACTCGCGCCCCGAAGGGGCCCGGTGGGATCTCCTGGCGGGCGCCACGCCCGCTCGCCCCTGGCAGCCGGGCCGCACGCAGCCTGCCACGTCGCCGTGGGCTCGCTCTCGAGCCACTGCCGAGCAGCCTCTCTCTGGAGCCTGTTTTTTGTTCGTCTGGGCGATAACGCTGTCCTTTTCCTCCTCCTCTTCCTCCTCCTCCTCCTCCTCCTCCTCCCCGCCGCCGCCTCGGCACCCGAAAGAGAACCAGCCGCGAAAGACCCACGTTTGGAGAGGCAAACGAGCCAAACGCTGGGCGCGCAATCGTGATCGCCCCCCCCCACCCTAATTACCCCCCCGCCCCGATCACGTCACGGCGTTTTCCCCCCACATGTCTCAAGGAATCTTCCAGGGTTTCCAGGGAGTCTCATCGGTTTCCCAGGGATTCGTCGTCGTCGCTGATGCACGTGACTGGGAGGTGGAGGTGGAGCCCTCCCCTCCTCGATCACGCCCATTATCGTGGATACTAAAAAACTCTTGTCAATTAAAAACGGTTTTTGAAGTCGAAAAACAGTGCTTGTATTGACACACTTGCTTGTTGTCCCCCACATCCTGAGTGGGGTTCTTGTTTTCCTAGACCACCCTCTCCTTCTCCTTCTCATTATCCTCCTTCTCCGCTTGCTTCACCTATAACTACCATCCCATACCTGCCATACCCTACCAATACTATACGTAATATACGAGTACGTACTAAACTATACCATACCCTACCATACCATACGTACTATACTATACCATACCTGCCAGATCATACTTATCGTATTACCTGCCATCCCCTACCATACCATGCGTAATATACTATACCATACCTGCAATACCATACCTACCGTTTTCGCAAAGCAATACTAGATATCAGGTTCGGTGCCCCTCCCACCCCTCCAGGGAGGCCCCGCCTGAGCGAGGAGGGTATCCCCAAACCATACATACTATTTACATGGTTTGGTGCCCCTCCCACCCCTCCAGGGAGGCCCCCCTGAGCGAGGAGGGTATCCCCCAACCATACTATTTACAAGTGTTCGTGCCCCTCCCACCCCTGCAGGGAGGCCCCGCCTGAGCGAGGAGGGTATCCCCCACCCCCTACGCCCCCCCCCCCCCGGGCATCTTGGTGGGGCCCCCCCCCTCCACCCCACCCCCCCTGGGGGGAAGGGATAAAAGGAAAGGGGCCTCCCTTCAAGCCCTTCGAGTAAGCTACGACGTTGCTCAGATTGGCTTCCCCCCGTGTCGCGGCCGCCCCCCTCGCCCGGGGGGAGCAGATTGGCTTCCCCCTGGGTCGCGGCCGTTCCCCTCGCCCGGGGGGAGCCGATCATTCCCTCTCTTGGAACCGACACGGCGGTGTCTTGGGCAGTTCCCCTCCCCCGAGGGGAGCCGACCACCCCTCTTGATCCCGACGTGAAAATCTCGTGTGCAGTGTGGGCGACGACGACGACGACCCACGCAAGATGACGAGACCAGGATACGTCTTCCACACGCCGACAGGGTCGGCGGATTTATCTACATGTGTGTGTGTGTGTGTGTGTGTGTGTTCTCTCTCTCTCTCTCTCTATCTCTCTCTTTCTCTCTCTTGTCATCTCTTTCTCTCTTCCTCTCTCTCTCTCTCTCTCTCCTTCTCCCCCCACTCTTTCTATACGTTGGTGATCTCTATCTCTCTCTCTCTGTCTCGCGTCGCTTGGGGCGAAGGAGTACCTCACGAGCGCGGAGATGTTCCTGTCCAGGCCCAGCCACAGCCCGACGGGTGCCGAAGGCGATCCCTGGCCTGCGCAGGTGGATCCGGGGGGAGCCCGCCGGGCCGCGCGGCCGCATTCTCCGCATTCTCCCTCCCCGCTCGCCCTGCTCCTGCCTGCGTCTGCCCGCCGTGCGTGCGCGTTTTTTTTTTTTTGCTCCTCGCGCTCCCCGCGCAGCTCAGGGTCAGCCTGCTATCGGGGGCGGCAAAGAGGGGGGTGATGACTAGGGGGGGGTGGATATCATGGCGGGGGCCATGATATTCCCTCAGATTTCATGGCGCCTCTTCTTATTCCATTGCGTCCCAGCCCCCCCCGCTGGGCCGCGCACGTGCCGCCGGTCATGATTTGCACCCCCCCCTTGGACACCCCCCTCTCGGCCGCTCCCGATGCTTGTCCTGCGCGTGCTTCCCGTGCTCCTGACTCGGCTGCGAGCGAGGGGGGGGGGGGCAGGGAGGAGGAGGAGGTCTCCTCAGCAGGCGGTGGGACGCCTCAGAAGCCCTCGCGATCACTTCTGAGAGGTTCTCGTCGCCTTCGGAGAAGGTTCGGAAAACTTCGTGGCGGGCTTGGGGGCTTCCGAGCCTTCTGACAGGGCCCTTCCCTCCTCGCTTCTCCCCCCCTGGCTCGCCGCCCAGAGGAGGAGGACGAGATGTTGCAGGATCTGCACGACTCCTTCTCCTTCTCCCCCTCCCTCCTCCTCCCTCCTCCCCCTCCTCCCCTCTCCTCCTCCTCCCTCCTCCTCCCCTCCTCCTCCCCCTCCTCCCCCTCCTCCCCCTCCTCCCCCTCCTCTCTGCACGACTCCTTCTCCTCCCCCTCCTCCCCCTTCTCCTTCTCCCCCTCAAACTCAGTTCGTGGGTGGACGACTCTTCGCAGCGGGTGTTGGGGCACTCCAGGGAGGTGGTCGCGAAGAGCGTGCAGGTAGGCAAGAAGTTTTGGAGGCTGTGCACTCAGGGGGGACTCAAGGTTTCCAGCAAGAGCACCCTCATCAGTTGCCCCGTGCATGTGGCCTCGAAAATTCAGGCGACGCTCCGCTCATATGGTCTGCATGTGAGTACCTTACAAGTTGCTAAGGACCAGGGGGTGGACGCGACGGCCACCAGGCGTAATGTTGCAACGCAGAACCAACGCCTCTCTTCGGCTGCGGGTCGCGCCAAGATGATCGCGCAAGTTGTCAAAGTTACCCCGAGGGCCCGCACTTTGGGGAGATCGGGATGTTTGCCACAGGCGTCGTGGGGGCTAGACTGTACAGGGCTGGCCCCCTCGTCGCCAATGCGTCTGCGAGCTCAGGTGGCGGCACTGTCAGGAGCCCGCTGCGAAGGCGGCTGCTCCACCACCGCAATCACGTTGATGATGGGGCCCGATCAGGACTCACTGATTTTTGGCAGGCTATGTATCTTCCGCACGTGGTACGAGCTCTTGCCGTCTGTGCTGCAATCGTCTGGGCGGCCTCTGGCACGTGCATTTATAAAAGGCCTGGCAGCGACTGATGTCAGTCAAACGCCGCTGGAGCCATGTTCAGGGGCCCGTCACTGCTGCCACTTTTTGCTGGCAGGACATAGAATGGACGGCGCCAGAGCCGTGGATTTGGATCTCTCCCGAACTGGAGAGTTTCGATCTGCGTGACTGTGATCCTGAGATGCTCATCGAATTTCGAGGTTCCCTGGATGCCCAGATTTGGGGCAAAGCCGCAAAACATCATGCCGGCAAGGGTCTCGAATTCAGTGCGGCTCTCGTGGTTCCCAGTCGTCGCATCAAAAGACTTGAGCGCCGTAGCCAATGGGACCGTGCAGCGGTTTTGATTATGGTCCTGGCAGGTCGTCTCTGGCCAGCAGCCCGCAGGTTCGGAGAGGCATCGATCCACCCCTCCTCCGCTTGCCGCCGTTGCCCCTGTTTCTGCCTCCTCCGCGTCTTCCTCCTCGGCCCCGCTGGCCGCGAGCGCCCCAGGGGCGCCGCGAGGCGCGCCGCTGGCAGGTGCCGACGCTGATGAGCTGGACTGGTCCGGGATCATGGACCTAGAGTCGGGGAGACGTAAGACTCGAGTGAGCCGGAACTCGGGTTTGCCGATTTTTTTTGTCGAGCGCGCCCTGGATTTTGACGGTCCCGTTTTCGTGGGATGTCTGCAGCGGGAGCCCGCGTCAAATTTCAGATTTGGTCTCGTCATTTTTGTGATGACGGCCTTCAGGCCAACCCGAGTCCCCCGTACCCGAGTCTTACGTCTCCCCGATAGAGGCCAGGCAGGATGGCCCGCTTGCCCCCGAGGAGGAGGAGGCTAGGCCATGGAACACCCCTGCCTGTCCACGTTGCGGGGGCCCCTCGGAGACGACTTTCCAGCAGCTCTGGGGGGGCCATTTTTTCAAGATCCGGGGATCGAGGGCACTCACCTTGAGTTGCTCGAGGAAGCGACGATCGGGGGGGAGAGTTTGCGCGTTTCTTGTTGAGGGGGCTGCCGCCGCTCAGATGGACGAGCGGACCCTTTCTAGTTGATGTCCCTCGCGATCTTGTGCTCTCCCCCAACCTCAGCCAAGGCAGATCGATCTAGAGGGGCGTAACGTCGTCGTGGGGACGGACGGGTCGGGGGGGCCGTGCTCGCCCGAGCCCAGGCTGAAGCGGCGTGGATGCGGTCTTTCCAAAAACATGAGGGTGGGACACCCAGTTGGGCTGGGGCCATGGGCCGCTGCCTGGATGTAAGCAAACCGCTCCCGTGGCTGAGTGAGCAGGAGTTGTTCAGGCGTTGAGGCGCACCCGAGGGCCCGCCACGCCTGCTGTCGACTTGTCGATCACGTTCAGGACTGTCCACGGAAGTCGTGAGTATGCGCCCCCTGTATACGTTGTACACTGGCGCAGGTTCTGGGCGGTGGCTGCCGACAGGCCGACTCTCATGGCGAAAGTCAAGAGCCACACCCGACATGTGCCCGGGCGGGAGGATGGCCTATGTCTTGGTCTGGCCTGCCAACGGGGCTGCTGACGCGGCCGCGGAGGAAGGAACTCGGAGGGTCCAACTCCCTGGCAATGTAGCCGCTGACGGATGCAGGATCGGTGAGGTAATTACGAAGGTGCAAGAACACCTGATAGCAGTCGCGCTCCACATAGCGTCGCGGGCACCAGAGCTTTACGGCCCCAGCTCCGAGGCCGCGCGCGCGGCCGAGGCGGACATGCGGGGCAGGGAGCGGGCGCGTAAGGTTGAGGTGGCGAAGGCTGTGTCGGCCCATTGGGTAGTCTCGGACCCGAAAGGTGTCAGATGTGCCCAATGCCTCACCCTACCGACCGCCGATTCGAAATTGCAAGAGTGGCTTGCAAATTCTTTACGCTTCGCGTATCCCCACCAGCCCATCTCACAACAGCAACTCATGCGAAGCATGCCGACAGTCGTGTTTTTCAGGCGTGTGTCCATTTGGCCCCGCATATCTCCCCTGTTCCTCCTTCCTCCCGCCTCCTTGTACATCCTCCTTGTGGGGGGAGCGGGAGAAGGACGAGGCGGAGGAGGAGGGAGAGAAAGCGCTCCTCGTGATTTGAGTCGTTTGGGGTTTCTCGTCCTGGTGTGAGTCGTTCGGGCCCTTCTTCCTGGTGTGAGTCGTTCGGGCTCTTCGTGGTGTGAGTCGTTCGGGCTCTTCGTCCTGGTGTGAGTCGTTCGGGCTTCTCGTGGTGTGAGTTGTTCGGGCCCCTCGTCCTGGTGTGAGTCGTTCGGGCCCCTCCTCCTGGTGTGACTCGTTCGGGCTCCTCGTGGTGTGAGTCGTTCGGGGCCCGCGTCGTGGTGTGAGTCGTTCGGGCTCCTCGTGGTGTGAGTCGTTCGGGCGCCTCGTCCTGGTGTGAGTCGTTCGGGCCCCTCCTTGTGGTGTGAGTCGTTCGGGCTCTTCGTGGTGTGAGTCGTTCGGGCCCCTCGTCCTGGTGTGAGTCGTTCGGGCTCCTCGTGGGGCCTCTTGGGGGCCTCTTGGAGCCTCTTGGGGCCTCTTGGGGGCCTCTTGGGGGCCTCTTGGGGGCCTCTTGGGGGCCTCCTGGGGCCTCTGGGGGCCTCTTGGGGGCCTCTTGGGGGCCTCTTGGGGGCCTCTTGGGGCCTCTTGGGGGCCTCTTGGGGGCCTCTTGGAGGCCTCTTGGGAGGCTCCTGGGGCCTCTTGGGGCCATCTTGGGGCCTCTTGCGACCTCCTCAGAAGCGCAAAGAAGCGCTGCCCCCTGAGAAGGACAAAATGAGCCCAAAACCATCGTAAAATCAATGATTTTGCTATGACGGAAGATGAGCGCGGCCCCCTCGGGAGGCCAAAATGGGGCCAAAACCCTCGTAAAAGCAATCATTTTGGCTTCACAGAAGAGGAGGGGGATACAAGAGTGCCCCCCCGTCGGGGCCAGAATCCTCGTGAGGGTCGTCGTTTTTTAGCCCTCCCAGGCGTCGAAAAAGACCCCCCTGACCACCCGCGGGGCTCCCTCTCCAGGCCCAGGGGGAGGGGGTAGGGGGATGGGTAAACCCCTCCCCGAAGGGGAAGAAGGGGGGTTGGGGGGTTGAGGACAGAGGGGGTTCTCTAAACCACTCACGCCCTAAAGGGCTGGTGGGACTCCTGCCCGAAGGTCCCGCGCGGCATCGATCCCTCGCATCGGCTGGTGCCAGATGTGCGGGGCAACATGGACGAGGGGGAAATTCGTCAAGCTGGGGGAGGGCTGCCGCCCTGATCGCGTTGGCGTGTGGGGCCGGCGGATGATCAAGTCCCTCACGGAAGGGACGCGTGAAGTTTTGGTTTCGGCGTGCCCGCTTTTGGGATTCGCGCTGTAGGTCTGGACTTGGGCGAGGTCGAGGAGGAGACAAGGAGGAGAAGGAGGAGGATGGGACTAGGAGGAGGAGGAGGAGGAGGAGGAGGAGGAGGAGGAGGAGGCGGTGGAAGAGAGGAGGAGGAGGAGGAGGAGGAGGAGGAGGAGGAAAACGAGGAGGAGACTGATGTTGTTCCTGCGGCTGCCGATGCTGCTGTTCCTCCCGATGATATCCTGCCGCTCCTCGCCTCTAAGCTGGGGCAGTTCCTGCGTTTTTTTTCCGGCCAGCTGGCCCAGGCCCCCCCCCCAGAGGATGAGGATGAGGATGAGCAGGAGGAGAAGGAAAAAGAGGAGGAGGAGGAGGAGAAGGAGGAGGAGAAGGAGGAGGAGAAGGAGGGAGGGAGGGAGGGAGGGAGGGAGGGAGGGAGGGAGGGAGGAGGTGAGGAGGAGGAGGAGGAGGAGGAGGGGGAGGAGGAGGGAGGAGGAGGGGGAGGAGGAGGAGGAGGAGGAGGAGGAGGAGGGAGGGAGGGAGGGAGGGAGGGAGGGAGGAGGGAGGGAGGAAAGGACGGAGGGAGAGAGGGAGGGAGGGAGGGAGGAGGAGGAGGTGGAGGAGTTCCCCCCTCGCTTCCCGGTTTCCTTCTCATTCCTTTCCCCCCCGACATTCTGCAACCTCCTTCATGTCCCCTGGCCAGGTGATCTCAGCCCACAAAGGTGGTTGAAGAGGAACAATTTGTTGATTTTTGATCCTTTGCACTGTCCCCCCCCCTGCCTCCCTATCGAGACAAAGGCAAAACACAAACGGTAGCAAGCGAGAATCGGTGCGCAGAGTAATATGTCACAACAGTTAGATACGTAGAACGTTGCGCACGCAATGGTTGACATAGCGGTTGACGTACCTGAGTTGGACTTAGCCTGTGGTCATTCTTCATTCGGGATGGATAAGTAAGTTCATGTAATCGCTTCGCTCATTCCGCCGGCCCATATTGCGCACCGCGGTCGACTTAGGCTTTTCCGTATCCGTATTCGACGATGTGACAATTTCTTTTGGCTTCTCCGTATCCGTTGGCATTTTTGGGCCAAATTTGGTCGTGGACAAAACGCCTCTTTTGGAAGGCGTCTTGAGGTCTCTTGGGAGGCTTTTCGGGGACCTCTTGGCGATATTCTGGGACCTCCTGGGGCTTCTTGGGGTCCTCTTGGGGGCCTCTTGAGGGCCTCGTGGAGGTCTCTTGGGGCCTCTCGGGGACATCTTGGGGGCCTCTTGGGGCCTCCTTGGGATCTCTCGGGGCTTACAGCTCGAAATGTCCATTCGGATTCTCTGTCTGGGCCTGCTTTAGGAGCCGTCTTGGGAGCCCCTTGGGCCATCTTGGAGGCCTCTGGGGCTGTCTTGGGGCGGTCTGGGGCCGTGTTGGGGCGTTCTTGGGAGCCTCTTGGGCCGTGTTGGGCGATCTTGGGGGCCTCTTGGGCCGCCTTGGAGCGCCGGTAAGTCGACAAGGCGAGAACGCCCAAATCCTCCAAAAACTAAGGAAAATCTCTCATTTGTGCCTCTGGGGGCCCACTGGGGAGGTCTGTTGAAGGATGCTTGGGGCGTCCTGCAGGCTTCTTGGGCCGTCTGGAGGCCATCTTGGGGTCTTGGATTGGTCGTTCGGAAACTCGGAGCCATCTTGGACCGTCTTGGGGGCCTCTTGGGGCTCTCTTTGCGCGCTCTGGGGGGGCCTGAGAGGCTGCACCCAGCAGGAAAACCCTCTCCGATTAAATGTTCGCCGGGGATCAGCGGGGGTACTTTGGATCGGACCCTCCGGGGCGGCCCCGCGCGCGCGAACCAGAAATCTTCTAGACCAGTTACCGGAGATCTTAGCACGCCTCTGACCCGTTGGGCCGGCGAAGTTCCGAGTTGAGGTTGCATTCGTGAAGGCGGCCATGGAAAGGTGCCCCTCTGTGGGAAGAGAGGTCCGAGCTCAGTAGAGCACGGACAAGAGCTGACGTGATTCGGAGCCTTAGGATGAGGAAGGGTTGGGCCCCTTCCGCCTCCATGTCCTTCCCGACCCTCCCCGATGTTGCCTCCCATTCCAGATTGAGTCGGGCATAGCCAGGACCCCAGTTAAGGGGACCTGGTCAGTAGTAGGGCCCCGGAGCCCCTAATTGACCAGAATCACTAAACCAGGTCTGCCGTAGCGGGTGTTCTTCGGGTGACGGCAGCTCCGGTTCGTGGAGCGGGGCAGGGACTGGGCTTCCCCAGTGCAAATCACTGAACCAGGTCCCACTAAACCCAGTTCTGCCAACGCCCGATCGAGGTGGCTCACACTTAGGCTGTCGACCGAGGAGCTCACGCCTCCATGTCCTCCATGTCCTTGTCCTCCATGTCCTTCCGCCTCCATGTCCAGGAAGGGTTGGGCCCCTTCCGCCTCCATGTCCTTCCCGGCCCTCCCCGATGCTGCCTCCCACTCCAGAGATCGAGGTGGCTCACACGTACGCTGTCGACCGAGGAGCTCAGGCCCGGGACCAGGCCACCGCCCTGATCGAGGTGGTTGCCAAGATGCGGCTAGAGCAGGCCGGGGGAGCGCCGCTGGTCGGGCCAGTACCCATTCAGGAGGGAAAGAAACACACAGACACAATTACTCGTCGATTCCCCAGGAAAATATGGGAAAATATGGGAAGTGGGAGGGAAGACAGAAACCCAGAAAATTTGGGAAAATATGGGGAAACAAATTATTTGTGTGTATTTATTTGTGTGTGTCCTGGGGCCCCTTCAGTTCTGGGGGGTGACTTCGGCCCGTGATGGCTCCGATCGGCTGCGCCTCGCGGAGAGCTACCCAGACATTCCATCATCGCCCAAAGTTCTTTCGGAAGCTGGGGCGAGGGCTGCTAAAACCGTGGCTGCTAAAACGGCCCTCCCGGACGGAAACAAAAAACAATTTCCCAGGATGAGGCGCGGCACGCGAAACAGTCAACGGGCTTTCTCCCGGAAGGACGAAGACAATTTCCCGGAGGTCGATTTTAGCAGCCACGGATTTAGCAGCCCTTGCCCAGCTTCCGGTTCGTGTTCCGGAGACCATAGTGCTGGCCGAGGAGACACAGCAATTGTACCCTTGCGACGTGCCCAACTTTTGTGCAGCAGTTGAGCAGAACAGTTGGCCAAATGTGTTACGGATGAGGATGCGACAAGGATTGACTGTGTTGTGCAAGTTGCATGGGAGGCTCGCGAGTCGCGTGACGCACAGGTCCCTGGTAGAAGGACAAGGGCGAGTTGGAGGTAGTGAGGTCCCAGTCTCGAAGAACAAGGGGGCGGGAGCGAGGAGGAAACGGAAGATGGGGAGGGGCGAAAGGCCAACGTGGTAGCAGCAGCGGGAGAAGGGGAAGGAGAAAGAGGGCGGCGACGAGGCATGTGTGGAGGAGGAAGGGGGGGGACAGGACGATGCTCCAAGTCTCGCGAATGAGCAGCGCCACAGACGCCATGTCGGTCTCGCGTCCTGAGCGCTCAGGTCAATTATTCTTGCAGTCGGTGGCTATTTTGCGAGTGGGATGTTGGACCAGGTGAATTCGTCTGCGTTCGTTGGGGCTGAGGTTCATGCGCGGTTCGCTCTCGCTGCCCTGTCAGGCGACAACCATGAAACGTGCGCGGGAGCCTCTCGCGCTCCACGCACGCCGTGGGCTGTTGGAGCGTCGACCGTTATCGCAACTGCAGTGCTGGAGTGCAGTCCGTGGGCTGCAGGAGCGCTGTCCCCCGTAAGACCTGCGGTGCTGGAGCGCGCGCCGCGTGCTGCTGCAGCGTGCTGAAGCAGGAGGAGGGACACGATGTGGAATAGCCGGAGGAGCGGGAGGAGGAGCGTGCTGAAGCGGGAGGAGGAGCGGGAGGAGGAGGAGCGTGCTGAAGCGGGAGGAGGAGCGTGCTGAAGCGGGAGGAGGAGCGTGCTGAAGTGGCGAAAACCGTTCTCCCAAGCCGCCGCCGATACGTTGACCTTCGCGTTTCGATGTCACCCGCAGCAGTCTTGCACCGACCGCAGTGCACGAGCCCGACGTGGCCGGGCTCGCTTGCCGGCCTCTGCGGGAGCTGTGCGCGCCCGCAGGCGCGCCGCCTGGTCCGGGGGGGCGGCCCGCGGGGCAGGAGCTCCTGGCCCCCGGGTCGCGCAGCATGAAGAGGTTGTGCTTTTCTGTGGCCCTGGAGATCCTGAGTTCGATATGTAGCCACATGCCGCAGGCCTAGAGGTTGACACCAGCACCAAGATCGGCGGTGTGCCTCCACCGAGGGAAGACGATCTCGATCTCGGTGATGGTGGTCAGATTCTGGCTTCCAAGGCGACCGCAATATGAACACCAACACCGAAATCTAGGATCAGCTGCCCCATGTGGAGGCAGCCCCCTGTGCTGGTGTCGGTGCCAATTTCCAGGCCTTCAAACATGCCGTCCAGGTCGACGAGGACTCCATCGTGGACTGTACGGCCCTGACATGCCGTAAACGTCAGGATCTAGGCGTGGGAAATCTGCAGGCCGGTGCGCACGACCACGTGCCTGCGGAAGTCGAGCTGGCCACTGAAGGCTTACCACGCAAGAAGGCAATTGCCTCGCACGCGACCGCCCTATGTACGCGCTCAAGGCCGGGCCAGAAGATGCGGTCATACATCTTGTTTTGATTCGGGTGGTACGGTAAACGTGCAGACGCAGGATTTCCCAGGAGGTGTCGAACACCGCAACAGTCACGCACCTCGAAGGCACCACGGAGGGCGATGCCCCATTGCGCTTTGAATGAAAAGTCACTCCCAAGAGCCTGCGAAAGTGGACATAGTTTTGCAGTTCGCCGCGCCCAGGGATGGCGAGGTCTCACTGTGCTATGAATAGGGCGTCGCCCCGTTGGACTTTCCAGGGGTCCACGTCAGTGGCAGCAGTTTCGCAACTTGGAGCGCCCAGGGCTACGATAGTGTCAGAGTTTCGCAGCTCGTGTTTTCCAGGGAGGGCGAGGGCGATGTCTCATGCTGTCGTGCATGCGGCGTCGCCCTGCTGGACTTCCCATGAGCTCGCGGAAGTGGCAACGGTTTTGCATATCGTTGCCCGAGCGGGCGGCGAGGTGTCATTGCGATGCAAATAACAGGTCGTTCCGCTGGACGTCAAAGGAGCCCACGGAAGTGGCGACTGTCTCGCAGCTAGCAGCCTCCTAAGGCGGACGAGGTGCCAATGTGAGTTGAATTAAACGTCGTTTCGCTGGAGCTCCCAGGAGCCCGCGAAACTGGCGACTGTTTCGCAGCTCGCGCACCCCAGGACGAGCGAGGTTCCAGGGTGATTTGAATAAGACGTCGTTCCGCTGGGCCGACCAGGAGCTCACGAAAGCGGTATTAGTTTCGCAGCTCGCTGCTCCCAGGGCGCCCAGGTCTCGTTTAGTATGGGCAAGAGCCAGGGGCCCACGACAGAGGTGACATGTTTGCAGTTCTCGCCGCTCCGCCTGACAATCCAGGATTCCAGGTACGTGGTGACCTTTTCGCAGCTCGCAGCCCCGACCCCCCCACCCCAAGAATGACGAGGCAGGAGACAGGGTACGGTATCAGGCGGGTTCGGAGGTGGGGGGGCGGGAGAGTGCAGGACACCCCGTGCACCACGAGGTACGAGTGCAGGAGACGCGAGAGGGAGGGAGGCGGGAGGAGGCAGCAGTGCTCTGCGCAAAACGAGGACCCAACACCGGAGGGTTCGGATCTCAGACTGGAGTCAGTAATGGTCTGCCGACGTCTGGGCTGGTTCACAGCTTGTTGGGCGCCGCGTAATGGGGGGGTCATCAATGGGGGGGGGGGCAAGGGTGGTTCGAAAAGGTACCCTAATGGTACCTAAACGAGCCCCCCTGGGGCTCTGGAGGGGCCCGAAAGGGGCACGAAAGGGGGACCTTTTCTGACCCCCCCGTTTTTATGATCCCCGGAACGAAGGATTGCAACGAAGGATTGCAACAAAAACGAAGGATTGCAAACAAACCCTGGATTGCAAAAAAATTCTTCGGGTTTTTGCAATCCTTCGTTTTTTTTGCAATCCTTGGGTTTTTTTTGCAATCCAGGTTTTTTTTTTTGCAACCCTTCGGTTTTTTTGCAATCCTTCATTAAGTCCCGCCCGAGCTTGACACCGCCCGGGCCCTTTGTGGTGTGGAAGGCAGCGACCACGGGCGTGTGGGGGGCAGCTGGGGAGTCGGCAAGGCTGTGCAGGGCCCGCCCAGGGATCCCACGGCCTCGAGCGGTTGCCCTGCAGTTCCAGGGGGCTTTGGGCGGCCCTCCGTGGTCTCACGGGGCGAAGCGCAACCTCGTGTGTTGCTAGGGGGCCACATGTGACCCTCGGACGACATAGGCGCAGCCTCGTAGCCTCGTAGCCACCCCTCCCCCTCGGAAATCGTGGGGGGTAGGGGTAGGGTTCACATGTGGCCCCCTAGTTGCGATGCCAGAGTCACTGGTCACGTGCGTGAAGTGACGCCACGTGATGTCGGATGCAGGGGTGATTGCGCAGCTCCGCAGCCTCATATAGTTGTGGGGCGGTGCGGGATACATTCTGGCGAGTGGGCGCAACAATTGGTTTTCGGGGTGACTTCGGATCGCTCTCGGGGGCCTCTGGGGAGCCACTTGGGGGCATCTCCGGGGCCTTTTTGGGGGTCTCTTGTGGCTTCTGGGGGGCCTCTTGGGGGCCTCTTGGGGGCCTCTTGGGGGCCTCTTGGGGCCTCCTTGGAGCCTCTCGGGACCGAGGGCTCGAAATGTCCGTTCGGGTCCGTCTTGGAGGCCTCTTGGGCCGTCTTGGGCCCTCTTGAAGGCCTCTTGGGGTTAGAGCCAGTTGCCGTTGTTGACGGCCTCGAGGGAGAACCTCGGCGACCGTTTTTAGGGAGCGGTCCCTCCCGGCAGCACAGTAGCACTGCACCGCAACACATGCAATTCCAAAGTCACGTCAAGAATGTGTGTCCCCGACGTAAGTTAAGTGGTCCCGTTTATTGTTGTGATCCCCGTTGTGGTCATGGATTTTCCCTCCCGGGTTGTGGTCTTGAAGGCCTCTTCGGCCGTCTCGGGGCGAGTCCAGAGGCCCCTTGGCCGTCTTGGAGCGTCGGGATGTCGAAAAGGCCAGAACGCCCAAATCTGTCAAGCAACCGTAGCAAAATCAATGAAGCTTGCCTCGTGGTGTCCTCTTGGGCGTGCTCTTGCAGGCCTCTTGGGGCGTCTTGGAGGCCTCTTGGGCCGTCAAGAGGCTATCTTGGGCGTCTTGGATCGATCGTTCTGCGATTCAAGGCACTCTTGGCTCGTCTCGGCATCTTCTTGGAGCGCTTTTGGCGGATCTTGGGGCCTCTTGGGCTCCGGGACCACCCGGGAGGGATGGTGTTCTGATTTGGGACCCCCCTTTTGGACCCCCCCCCCAGTAGGGCAGGGATCCAGAGAAGGGCTCCCGTCCGACTCAATGGCGACGCTGCTTATTTTCGTTTTGGCTGGTGAGCTCGAGGAGGAGGGCTCAGGGAAAGGAGGGAGAATGCTGGCACGGGCGCAGCAGACCTTGCGACGGGCTGAAGGAAACGGGAGAACAGCGGTGACGGCAACGGCGACGGCGGCGACGACGACGACGACGATGATATAACGGAGCAAGCGGAACAGCGTCTCACACACGCCGACAGGGTCGACGGATTTTGTAAGGGAGTGCGGCTTCGGGAAGAGGGGGCGGTGCACGCGGCTCTGCGCGTCCCGAGAGGGTGGGGGCCCTTTGAGATATCCTGGACGCTTCGCGTAACCCCACCAGTTTTTCGAATTATCTGGCTCTGTGCCCCAGTCAGCCTGATTGACACGCCCTCTGGACTCTTCCTTGCGGGCCGCAGATCAAAAAAGTACCCCCACCAGTTAATTAGCTTCGTTCGCTCCCTGTTCGTTGTTGACTCGCTTCTTGACCTTCGCCAGGGAGCCGCCGACCAAAAAGTAACCCCACCAGTCAGCTGGCCCATCGGATACGGGTCCGCCAGTTCACTCAGGAGTGGTTCAGCCTTCTTGAACGGCCAGGCGTGACACCTGCCGGTCCGCTGCCCTGACCTCTGGCGCCCTGTGGCGACAAGCTTCAATTCACGTGCCTGGCGATTCAGCTCCCACGGCACACGCATGTTGCAGCTTCGTGGCCGCCCCCGCAGCTTGCAGTCCCCCCTCTCGGCGCAGCTCTGCCCCAGCGCAGCTGCTTTCCCCGGCGGTAGGGCTTGCTCTGCTCGGCGCGCGCGCCGGCAATAACTAGGTTGCTCGTGGCCCGAGCCAACTCTGCTGACCCTGTCGGCCCCTCGGCCTGCGGCCGCGACGAACAAGAAAAAAACCCACCGGCCCCCCGGACTGGCGCGGGTGCTTGTGGCCCGCTGTCCCTCGCGGGGCTGCCCCTCGCTGCGGTCACGGGACACCTCTGGCGGACACCACGCTGCCAGCCAATGATCGCCATTTTGGCGTGCACCCCCGGCTGCTGCTGCTGCTGCCGATGGCACCCCCCCTGTGAGCGCCGCGCGGCCCGCCCCGGCTTGTCTCACCTCCCGCTGTCCTCCGTTGTCTCCTCTTTCCTCTCTCTTGTGCGAATGTGGGCTTATGCCGGTTAGCGGTAGCTCGGGACGGCGCGCGCGCGCGTCCTTTTCCGCTTGCGCTTGCGATCAAAACGTACCCCCACAAGCCCATCCAGAAACGATGCCCAGGCAAATTGCCATGATCAGCGACGTGGAGAAGCATGCAGTGGAATAAAGGGCGAGGGATGCCATCATACCCCAACAGGGGGAGGATGGAGGAGGAATCGGAGGAGGAATCGGAGGAGGAATCGGAGGAGGAGGGGGAGGAGGGGGAGGAGGGGGAAGAGAAACAGGAGGAACAGGAGGAACAGGAGGAACAGGAAAAGGAGGATCAGGAGGAGCAGGAGGAGCAGCAGGATGGGGGCGAGCAGAAAGGCCAGAGGCCTTTTGGATGCCCCTCGCAGTCTCATCGGGTGTCTTTTGAGAGCTCCTCAGGGTCCTCTTGGTGCGTGTTGTGGGCCTCTTGACGGGCCGGGGAGCCTCTTGGAGCATCTTGGGGGCCTCGGGGGAGCTTCTTGGGGACCTCCTGGGGGCTTTTTGGGGACCTCTTGGGGACACCTCTGGGGGGCCTCCTGTGGGGCCTCCCGATCGCCCCATTGGGGCTTTCTTTGGGCACTCTTGGAGTGAGATCAATCAAGGAAGCGGGGGTAGGTATCCAAATATGAGAAACTCAATGAGTCGCGCCTTTTTGCCGAGGCCTTCTCGGACGCCCCCATGGGTCGCGAGACCCCCCGTCCAGGTCCAGGGGAGAGGGCAGCGGGAGAAGTAGCCCCCTCACTGAGGAGGAAGTAGGGGGGATGGAAGCGGAAATCCCCTAAACCACTCACGCCCAGAGGGCTGGTCGGATTACAGAAACCTTTCCAGACAGCACTCGGCATTCTAGCACACCTCAACGTGTCAGGGGGCACTGTGGTGAAAACCCTGATGGAGCTGAAAACACGTGCAATGCAGCCCCATGGCTTTCAATTGCGCGAAGCGCTGTGCAAGTGAGATGTTTGCATCCATCCCACGGCATTGGGCTGCCATGGAGAGTCGTATCATGTAAGGGAGGGGACGGGGCGTTCCTGGCTGCGACTAGGTGGGATGAATATGTAACGGACTGCAGTGGAGGGTAATGTAACGTGGCTGAATGCAGTGGCGTGCAATACCACGGATGGGGATATCACTACATGCAAAGGCACGCGACGAAGTTTATGCGGTATGCTGGAACGTGTTTGGATGCCTCAGTCTGTACAGCCATGCAGCGGCACATCATGGAACGCGCAGGGGGGAATGGGACGCAGAAGAGTGCAATGTTTCTCATATGGGCAGCACCTGGCCCTGGGGGGGCCGGAGCATTCCCCCAACAGGAGCCCCCAGGGCCCCAGAGTACAGGCAGCCCCCTTCCGCTCGCAGAGCTTCCCTGGACTCTCCCCCGGGCCCTCACAGAAGGCTTGAACAGCCCACAGAGCTGACCCCTCCGTAACCATGTTGGCTCAAGGTTCCCTGTTCCAGCGGAGGAATGTTTTTTTTGGGCTGGGGACAGGCTTCCCGCTATTGCGACGTCTCGCCAAGAAGCGTGCGGACACCCAGATCGTATTGATCCGCGCCGAGTTGTGCAGGGAAGCCGCTGATGGAGGACGTGGTCTGGCAGTCGCCAGAACAGCGTGCCGCACCGCTGTTGGCGCTGGGATCGCGGCAGGCCGCGCTGGTCGCTCCGCGACCGAGCGGGGAGGGCGCGGGAGACGACGGGGCGTCGGCGGCCCGAGCAGCGCCAGGAGCCGATGAGGACGGCCTGCCCGCGCCGGGGGGCGCCGCACGGGGTCGGCGAGGAGCGCGGAGGTGGTCGTGCCTGCGCAGGCTGCGGTGTTCGGCGGCGTGCTGCCGCTCGTGGGCTGTGCTTCTCTCGGGCTCGCTGGACAGGAGCGCTCTGCGGCTCGTCGGCCTGCGCCTCGACCCTGCGCCCGCCGAGGCGCGGCGGGAGGCGGCCCGTGGCATCTGGCTGCCCGTCCTCTGCATGGCCCTCCTCGGCACGACCGCGCTGGTCATCCAGCTGTGGTGCCTTGTGGAGGGGTGGTACTTCCTCCTCGCGCGTGGGGTGGCGCCACCCTGCAGGCCGCTTTCCGCGTGGCTCTGGTTGTACTGCTTCACGCTGTGGCAAGCTACAGCTACTGCTCTAAGCTCCTCCCTTGCGGCCTTCGTTCTCTTCGTTGTGGGTTCCTCGTTCTGGATAGGGTTTGTAATGATCCAGCGAGACATGTCCAACGAATGCCGCCACGCAGAGCCGACATTCTGGTCATTTGTCGACCAGGTGGCCCTGCTGGGCATGGCGACTTGCATTCTGCTTTTGGTGAATTGCAGCGTGATGATCTGCCTGATGCGCCGCGCGGCCACCATCCGCGGCACCACGTTGCAGGCCGTCATCGAGCGCGTGTTCGCGTCGCCGCGGCCGCGGGGCTGGGGCTCCAGCGGCGCCACGTCGCAGGCCGTCATCGAGCGCGTGTTCGCGGCGCCGCGGCCGCGGGTGCACGTTGGCACCGAGTGCGGGATCTGCCTGGAGGTCGCCGAGGACGCGGCCGAGTGGTGCGGCCTGTTCTGCGGGCACGCCTACCACGAGCGGTGCCTCCGGGAGTGGCTTGGGCGAGCACGGCGGTGCCCTTTGTGCAGGCTGGACCTGCATGCCGCCTATTTGCCCAGCGAGTCCGCCCCAAGCGACGACCAGGCGCGGGCGAACATCTGATCTGCCCGCTGCAGGCGTGAGGGCTCTGAGAAGACATATACTGCCTGACATGTTCTCGATCTCCACCTCCTCACCCGCCCTCATTCCCTCCGTTCCCTGCGCTCACAGAGCAGCCAGCGGAGCCTGTATGATATGCCAAACGTGTGCTTCGGAGGCTGAAGTGGGGTGTGATGCTTCGCGGAGCAATCACACCTTGCACGGCAAGAGTGAGTTGACCGCTCTTCGAACCCTGACTCTTCGTCTTCCCTATGGAGCCGCGAAGCGTGTGATGGGGAACGGTACGCAATACCACCCCCTGGGGCCTTCGGTGGAGCTTCCCATGGAGTACGCTATGCAGCACCACACGTGGTGCGTTCGTCGGAGCTCCGCGAAACGTCTGAGGGATGTGACGAAAAGGCCTGGGATACGCATGTGAACGCAACATCTGGGGCCTTCGGTGGAGCTCCCCAAGGGGCCACGGAACGTGTGAGGTGTGTGCGTGTGTGCCAAAATCGACTGAGTGACGCTAATGTAGGATGAGGATTGATACATGACCGGGGGTCGTGTTGCGTCGGCGGCGCCCCAGAGCATGATTAGAAAAATCCGGCCGCGGGCTGGGAAACTATTTTTTGATCGTTCCCCCCCTGCGGTCCTCGGGCGCGCGCCCGGACGGCCGACGGGCCAACGTCGAACGATTATTTTGCGTAAAATTTGAAGTCGACGTCGAATGATTATTTAACGTAAAATTTGACGACGGCGTGAAATGAGTATTCGACGGAAGATTCGAAGCCGACGTGTAATAGACACATTTTTTAATCGCCCTCCTCCCGTTGAAAAATCACATAGAAGTTGAAGAAAGTATGTCCTAATCGTTCCCCCATTTGTTTATGTATCGTCATCCTGCATTATGCGGTACCACGGGCATTCAGTGCCAAGAAACGTGAGAGGGAGGCAACGACATTTGCATGCGGAGGGCAGGGGTAGGCATGGGAGGAGGGAGGAGGGGGGCAGCGGGAGGCAGTGGAGCGCGGCGCTGCGGACTCGAGACGAGGACCCACCCCCACAAGACGCTCTGGAGGCATCGCGCGCACGCGGCAAACCCGTGGAAGTACTGGCGTTCGCACCGCGCGCGCGCGTCCCCGTGCGCACACGTCGAAATATCCTCCCCGAACAGGCTCCCCCGAGCACTCCAACGCCGGACAGTTCAACACACACTCGAAGACCGATTTCTGACCACATCCACCTCTGGAACCTCGATTCTATGGTAGGCCCTCGGGGGTGGAAGAGGGTAGTTTTTCCTTTCCCTGGGGCGGGGAAACTGCACACCTCCACCTCTGGAAACCGCTTTTCGCAAGGCACCTCGGGAAGTGGGTGTGGTCAGAAATCGGTCTCCTATACACATGGAAGCAACGGTCTTTCCATTCATCGGCAGTCAGTTGTTTTGAAGTGTTGCGCGCGCACTTCCTCGTCGTCTTCATCAGCACCATCCCTATCATCAGCGGCAGCGTCCTCAGTTCCACCGTCATCACCATCAGATCCATCTTCATTGCCGTCGCCATCAACATGGTCATCAACGTTGTCATCAACATCGTCGTCATCATCATCATGTCGCCCTGATCGCCGCCATATTATCACCGCCAGCATCCACCAGCGTTATCATTGCCATCGTCATCACCATCCCGTGCATCATCACCGTCGTCGTCGTCGTCGTCGTCGTCATCCAACCGTGGTCCTGAACCTGATCATCGGCATCGTCGTTGTCGTCGCCCTCTTCGTTGGCACTATCATCAGCACAATTCGCCCGCCCGAGTCTCAGATCTGCGTGAGAAGGGTTCTCGCGTCAACGCGCCAGTTGAATTGTGCCATCGAGTCTCGGGGGGGTGGGTGGGACGTGTGCGCGAGCTTCGGATGTTGTCACGCGCGGATGCAGACACAGTGACGTGCACGGGTACTCCTCTCCTGCTCCTGCTCCTCGCCCTCCCCGCCGCCTCTCCCTTTCTGGGACTCCGCGGAACTCCCCAGATACCATTGACCCATCTAAGATGGTCCTCCCTCCCCTTCTCCTCCCCCCCTCTCATCGAAGCTGGGCCTCGCAGATGTGCCAGCTCTTGGACCCGGCCCAGCTGTTGAGCGGGTCGGCGTCGACCTCGTCCGAGGCCTTGCGCTATTTGGATTCTCCTCTCGCGCCCAAGCTGAGGAGTTAGGGCAGCGAGTCCTTGACCGGAGAAAGCGCGAGGTGGCGGATTTCTCGGACGAAGGCTAACCTGTTTGTTTTTTTTTTGATGCATGCTAATGCGATGACTTCGTTAGTCGGTGTGGTGCTCCTCCCCCCCTCTCCTCCGGGCGAGGTCCCCTCCCCCACTCTCCTCCAGGCGAGCTCCCTCCTCCCCTTACTCCTCCCCCACTCTCCTCCCCCACTCTCCTCTCCTTCCTCCCCCACTCTCCTCCGGGCGAGGTCCAGACTCCTCGGGCCGCGAACCCACGGGTCAGGGGGATGATGCTGATGGTGTTGCGTGGATGCCCCGCGCGGAAGATATCCATGGAATCACACATCCATGGGGTCGTGCTTCGGTATCCCGACCGCGAGGACACTGATATCCTCTTCGATTTCTCTCGCGATTCGTCGCTCGTCATCGTCGATGCCTCCCTTCGACTTTTCTCCGCGAGGACACTGATGCCCTCTTCGACTTCTCTCTTCTCTTTCTCGTGTCCTCGCGAGGACGTTGACCTCCCACGTCCGTCGCTCGTGGTGTCTCTCCTCTTCGATCCGCCTCTCTCCGCCCGGAGCCGCCGGCGCGGGAGGCCCGGCTCGGGGCGGCCGAGGCGGAGCACCAGTCCGCGCTGTCTGAGTTGCAGGCCCGTGTTGCGTGGCTGTCGTCGTTTTGGTCGTCGTCGTCGTCAAGGCCATCGTCGTGGTCGTCGTCGTCACTGTCGTCCTCGTTCCTGGTCGTCGTCGTGGTCGTTCGTCTCCGTTCATGGTCGTCGTGGGCGGCGTTATCGTCGTCTTCGTCGTGCTGGTGCTGGTGTTGGTGGTGGTTGTGGTCGTCGTCGTTGTCGTCGTCGTCGCCGTCGTCTTCGTTGTCATTGTCCATCGTCGATGTTGTCGTCTCCGGCGTCGTGGTCGTAGTCGTCGTTCGCCTGATTGTCGCGGCGCGAGTCCCGCCGCGGTGGCGGCCTTGCGAGGGCTGCTGTTGGCCAGAAAGAGAAGTCTTTCGCTATTGGGGCGCCCTGCCTGGCAATTCGTGCTAGGCTTGCCGCCAGATGGCGCGGGCAAAGGAAGGCCCGTGATTGGTATGGCTTGGTGTGGCTTGGAAGCGAATGCAAGAGTCCAAACCTACCCGGCATGATTACCCACGTTGGCCCGTCTTTCCCCCTCGGGAGGACCCGTGATTGACCCGGGACCCCACCTTCCCCTCCGCTGGGTCGATTAACGCTCTCCCTGCTCGTGCGCCGGCAATCAAGCTCCAGCGCGCGCAAGCAGGCCACGACACAAAGAGTGGTGTGTGTGTGTGCGGGCGAGAGAACGAGTGCAGTCCCCGTGCCTGCCAGACAACCCTTGGGATTCTACCACGCCTCAACGCGCCAGGGGGCACGGTGGCGGATGCTGACGAGTTCTGGGCAGCGGTGGTCGCTTCGTTGCCCAGGGGATCAACCTGTTATCGACGACCAGCAACATTGTCGGGGTGGTCGACATATTCGGACGCTTACAGCATCAGCACAACGCAGTCATTGACACCATGATTGTGCGCCTCTCTTGGCTGGATGCGCGGTGTGGCATCCACGTAGGGCCGCGTTTCAATCTGTCAGCGGCAGGGTTCACGGTGCACGGCATCGACAAGCATTTTACGTTTGTTGTCGTTGTTCTCTGACTGTTGTTTGTGCGTGTGTGTGTGTGTCGTGTATAGTTTTATGCAGTTGCTCTAGCACTTGACTTGATTGTGCGCGCTGTGCCACCCAAAGCCACATGTGTGCCGAAACATGTTTGGTGCGCGGTGTGCCACCCACAGTGATAGCTGATATCCCGCCGTGCCCGCGCACCTACCACGAGTAATGCGTGCTGTTGTCACGTAGACCATGTTTGTCGCGCCAGCACCAAAAATCGAACAAACTGCGCGGTATCGGATTTACTAAATGTGCAAGCCAATTTTGTTCCAGATTGTCTGCAACGTCTCGCAAAAAACACTTCTGGCCCTGGTTGTGCTTGCTTCCACTGCGTGCGAGAAGGGCCTGTAGTACGTAGCCGAATCAATGTCGTTGAAAACGCTGTTTGAGCTCGTCTGGGTCGGATTCTGGACGCCACGTGGTAGCCGCGCAGCGAACCCGCGCCGCGCCTCGCCGGGCCCTGGTGGCCGCAGCGCTCGCCCGCCCCCCCCCCCCCACACACCCCGCAGTCGCATAGTTCAGTCAAAAGGGCACGGCGTGGGGAAGCACTGAGGGCGTAGGCGCAGTTGGAGCATTGAGCAGGGGCCCAACCCATACCGAAATCGGTCGTTGAAAGTAGGTATTTTTGGATTCTCAGATGCCAGTCTACCTTAAGCGCCTTTCTACTTCACAATGATCGAGTGGCTTCACCTGTTTCCGTCCTCTTGGGCACCCATTCTACTTTCATCGCCTACTCCATGTTTCTACCTACCTCTTTCGACCGACGGTTTGTCCCGCGGTTGACCCTCGTGTCCCCTTCTCGCGGGTTGCTGCAGTTGCGTTTCCTCTTTCCCGCCGCCACCGTTCGGGCTGGGCGAAAGGGGGGGATTGGGAAAGGGGGGGTTACGAAATTTGCTGCATGCAGCTGGTTTCGGCCTCACCGAGGGGCCCACATTCCTCGATACATAGCCGCCTGCGGCGCCGGGAGGCGCCGGGAAAATCAGCTACGTGAGCTGATTCTCAACCCCCCCCCGTGGCTTTCCGGCGGCGCGCAGGCGAGAGACGCCGTGGTGGCCCAGCTGCGGGAGGAGCTGGCACGCAGGGAGCGGCTGCGGGAGGCCGAGGAGGAAAGGCTGCGGGAGGAGCGCGCCGCTCAGGAGCGGCTGCGGGAGGGGGAGGAGGAGGAGGAGGAGGAGGAGGAGGAGGAGGAGGAGGAGGAGGAGGAGGAGGAGGAGGAGGAGGAGGAGGAGGAGGAGGAGGAAGGAGGAGGAGGGCAGGGGGAGGAGGAGGAGGGAGGGAGGAGGAGGAGGAGGAGGAGGAGGCGGAGGAGGAGGAGAGAGGAGGAGAGAGAGGAGGGGAGGAGGAGGAGGGGGGAGGAGGAGGAGGAAGAGAGGAGGAGGAGGAGGAGGAGAGGAGAGGAGGGAGGAGAGGAGGAGGAGGAGGAGGAGGATAAGGAGGAGTGAGGAGGAGGAGGAGGAGGAGGAGGAGGAGGAGGAGGAGGAGGAGGAGGAGGAGGAGGAGGAGGAGGAGCGGGAGGGGGAGGGGGAGGAGGAGAGCGGGAGGCCGAGGGGGAGCGGCTGGGGGAGGAGCGCGCCGCCCAGGAGCGGCTGCGGGAGGAGACGCGGCTGCGGGAGGAGCAGGCCGCCCAGGAGAGGCTGCGGGAGGAGCAGGCCGCCCAGGAGAGGCTGCGGGAGGAGGCGCGGCTGCGGGAGGAGCAGGCCGCCCAGGCCTGCCTCCGCCGCCAGCCTCCCTCCCCCTCTCCTGCTCCTGCTCCTGCTCCTGCTCCTCCTCCTCCTCCTCCTCTCCTCCTCCTCCTCCTCCTCCCCTCTCCTCCCTCCTCCTCCTCCTCCTCCTCCTCCTCCTCCCCCCCCTCCTCCCCTCCCTCCTCCTCCCTCCTCCTCGCTCCTCCTCCTCCTCCTCTGCAAGGTTCCCACATGGGGATCGAGCAGACTGGGTCGGAGGATCGCGCCACGTTGTCGATGCATCGGCGATAGGGGTCGGTGTAGAGACCGATGTTCGCCGTGCATCGCCGACGCGCCGCCGACGCATCGCCGATGCATCGGCGATGCGGCGCGATCCTGCGACCCCATCTACCCGGACCCACTCGGGAGGCCTCCATCTTCCTCCTCCACGTTCTCCGCCCCCAACCCTCTTCCCCCCTGCCCCCCCTGCCCCCCCTGCCTCGTCCCTCCATGGCCCCCATCGCTCGCATGCTCGCCCGCTCGATCGCCTCGCTCGAGCGACCGAAGCCTCGACTCTTCACCGCGCAGCCCGCTCGCTCGCTCGCGCTCGCCCCTCACTCCCAGCCTCGGCCCGCCCGCTCGTCCCGCTCGCCCCGGCCCGCCGACTCCCTCGGGCGCTCCGCCCGCGGGGTCGCTCCCGCTCGGTCAGCTCCCTCGGCGCGGCCAGCTCGCTCGGCACGGTCAGAGGAGGAGGAGGAGAGAGGGAGTAGGAGGAGGAGGAGGAGGAGGAGGAGGAGCGAGGACGACGAAGAGGAGGAGGAGGAGGAGGAGGGAGGAGGAGGAGGAGGAGAGGAGGAGGAGGAGGAGGAGGAGGAGGAGGAGGTGCTCGGCTCCCGCGGCCCGCTGCAGCGAGCGAGCCGAGGTGACGCAGCGGGCGAGCGAGCCGACCGAGCGAGCGAGCGAGCGGGGAGGGGGGGGGGGACGGTGGGAGCGAGCGAGCTGGCGAGGGGACGCGGGGCTTGCTCCGCGTCGCTCCGGCGCCCGAGCGGGCTCTCCGGGGCAGGCGATCGGGCGAGTCGAGCGAGCGAGCAGACGTCGTTTGTTCCGCTCGCTCGCCGGGCCGGCCTGCCAGGCTCGCACGGCGGGCTCGGTCCGCTCTCTCCAGGATTTGGGCCTGTGGCAGTCCTTCAAGCAGCGGCGAAGCGTCTAGGCGTGCCTGGTAGCCCTACCAAACAATGTTCTAAGAACCTCTTGTGGTTCCCACGAAATGTTCTTAGTACATTTCTGGCGGGGTCTGTCTTGTTTTAGCACATCGGGTGTATGTTCTAAGAACACGGCGTTTGTTCTTAGAACATTTTTGGGTTCTAACAACATTTCGTGGTAGGACTATAGGAACGCCGGGACGGTCGGTCCCTGCTCAAGTCCTGATGAGCCCACGATTTGTTCAGCGGGTAATCGCCAGAGTGTCATTGAGTGGTTACGCTTCGACGGGAGTGAGCCTTGGACGGGCGATCCTCCTGCGGCATCCGCGAATGGTGATGGGTGGACCTTGGTCCTCATCGTCCCATCTCGCCTCCCTCACTGTCATGTTCCCCTCTCGCCTTGCAGAATCACCTTGCCTTTATTAAATGTGGATATCGTTCTCGTTCTCGGCCTGAGAGTCGCTCTCGTTCTCGGTCTTTCAAAGATTATGCTCCCGCTGCAGCGCGGGCCTCACTGTAGGATCGGGCATTTGCTCCCACCGTTTAGAGTGGCGCTCTCGCCTCCTACGCCTTCCCCTGGTCCTCCTGCTCCTCCCGCTCCTTGCACTCCAGTTTCTGCTGTTCTGGTTTGTCTTCAGCCGTATTCTTGCTTATCCTCGCTTTCTTGCTGCTCATCCCCTTGCTCGTCCGCCACCTCCTCCTGCTCCTCCTCCTCATCATCCTCCTGCTCCAGAGAGGCCGGGGCTTGGAACGCGTCGGCCTCCGCCCTCTCCCTTGTCGGTGGGCCTGACGAGGTTGGGGGAGAGGGTGCCGAAACGCGCCCAGATCCCAGCAAGGCAGGAGGGTGCAAACCCGGCCTGTGTGGCTCATACTCCAGGAAGCGGCCTGTTCTCCAGGGGAGGCCGCAGCACCGCTGCACGCATGCGTTGTTTAACCGAACCTGCAGGGGTGGCCCCTTTCTTTCTGCTCGGTTCCACCGGGACCTCTTCGGGGCCCCCATGCCGACGCGCGCGCCTCCTCCTCCTCCTCCTCCTCCCCCTCCTCGTCCTCCTCTTCCTCCTCTTCTGTAGCCATTATGGCTCAAGATGGTTCTACCCCAGCGGTTTTGACGCTGGGCCGCGGCCGGTCTCCGTCCTCCTCCCTCCACAATCACGGGTTGCGGTCGCCCACTTACATATTTCGGCCTCATGCTCTTGTGTGCTGTGGTTTTCATATCGTGCACAGTGCTCTGTCGCGCGGCTGAACGCTGTGAGCCTTCACCATGCCAGACATGGAGGACAAGCAAGGTGACTCCTACGGCGAAGGTGGCCAGCTCCCCGACCAGTGCTATGATGGTACCCCCTCCGACGACAGCTCGAGGAAACGTTCGCCGCACAGGTCAAAGTCCCTGCCGCAGAGTTCGTCACCATCGTCAAGCCTATTGTGGAATCCGCCCGGTTTCAGTTCCTCACTTCCATCACGTCCATCGCCGCCAATTTCAACGCCAAGCGCGAGCGAACCGAGAGAGACCCACAGGACACCAAAGCCAAAACTGCCGCCACGGAAGTGACCACACGAAAACTACGAGACTCAGTCAACAAGCTTCAGAAGATCGTTGACGACGCAGAGGCCCGCAGCCCAAGCACCGACGTGGCCAACACTGGAACATGGGACCGAGTTGCTGACCTGTGCACCTCCTGGTGTGGATGCGCAACACCCTTCGACATCGACGACCTCGAAGTTGCGCTCGTGTCGTGTTTCAAAAAGGCCGAAGTCAAAGGCGACCACATGTCGTTCAACACCTCGGGCGTCAGCAGGCGCCACAGCTTCACCCTCAACGGCGGCACAGAGGTAGCAGAACCGCGAGCGCGGCGCCTACACATAACACAACACATTGGACGAGGTTGGCGTGATGCCATTCTTTCTATTGGTGGTGCAGCTCCTACTACGCTATTCGTTTCGGCCGAAAAGAGTCCGCGAACAATACGCCGAGAAGTCTAGCCCAGGCGGCTGGGTAGTCCCACCAACCAGCGCCTCGACCACTACACAGTCCGTCTGCGAAGGAGCAAGGCCTATATCTCTTGTCATCATGAGGCTTTGGCACAGCTGCATGTTCTCAGTACTCCTGGTGAGCCGACGCCCATGTAGTGGACAGCCGCTGCAGTTCGAGATGGCACCAATGACCAACAGCAACACAACATCCGCACCGTCTTCGAGTGCAGCATCTCCGATGCTATGGCCTCCGCGCACGGCCTCTGCCCCGCCAGCTGGCCCTGATCGCGCTGCTGCAGTCGTGCACCACGGTCATCCACATGGGCATCCTCGCGCGTGTGGCCTTCCACTCCGACATCGCGAGCCCTTCCTCGGTTGGCGGCAGTGGCCCCCTCGATCCATTCGCCCAGGTCGAGCCAAGCCGCCCGCCCGAAGTGTGTCCACTGCGGCCCACCACTGCGGTCCAACGCAGATGTCGCCGCAGGGCGAGCAGCATGGCCCAGCGCCGCGGACGTCTCCGGCGCCTGCGACATCGCCGTCGCGAGCGCTCACAACCGCGAGCCGCTCCCGAGCGACGAGGGGCCGACGCGTCATCCATGGCGCCAGCTGCCCCTTCAGGCTGCTGAAAAACCTCGCAAGTGCTCCTCGTCATGCTGGGCGACTTCAGCGCCCCCGCGTGCACCCCCAATAGCATTAACGCGCTGACTGGCTCGAAGGCGGCCAGGGCCGCCAACCGCTCCAGCGACGCAGCGGCCTTCGCTTTCCCCGTCGAGCTCACAGCGCAGACGGGCAGTCTCAGCACGGAGGTGACGGGTAGCATCAGCAAGGAGGCTCGCGGCACGAAGCTCCGGAGCCTCGTCGTCGCCATCTGGTTCCAGGACATCAGTCTTGCGAAGATTATATCCAGCAGCTCCGGCCTCGGCCGCAAGCGCGTCACGATTGATGGTCGCCTCTTTAGTTCGGTATGCTTCGTCACGTTCGCGCGCGAAACCTCGGAGGGCATCCACAATTGCCCCGCGTGCCGCTTGATGGCCTCGCCAAATCCGGCATCTACGGATGGGCTTCCTGCGCCTGCATCGAGGCGCTCGACGACGTCGAGCTGCTGCTCTCCGCCAAGCCCAGGAGAATCGATGCCCAGGCAATCGCCAGATGGCGCTGCTGGCACAACTCGCAGCGCGAGTTGGCCCATGCCCACTGCAGCAGCGTCGCCGGCGAAAGCGGGCGCTGGCATGCCGACTGCTGGGCCCGCCAGGTCTCCATCGCGCAGTGCGCGCCACGGACGTCGCCACTGGCGCCTCTTCATCGGGGCCGCGGGCTCGCACTTCAAGCCCCCCGTTCGCTTCCTGAGCCCAAGCGAGCCGCTGGCGCTTTCTGCCCGCAAGCACGCTGCCCGCCGCGGGGGCGCTGCCCCACTGTAACAGCTTGCTCAACAGAGGGGGTCGTGCGCGAGCGCCTGCGCCACGACGTAATTCACGTCGCGGCCAAGAAGCGCATCCAAGCGTGTTCTCTCCATCTTTACAGACATGCTTGCCGTGGGGATCCAGCAGCGCCGAGCACGTGCAACGCGCGAGATCGGCCCCAAAACCGTGCTGCACACTGGTCTGGTGCAGGGGTTCCTGTCGTCCTCCTGGACTTATAGATCACCCAAGGAAGGGCTACCCTAGGGCTACCCCTAGGGCCTACCCCTAGGGCTACCTTAGGCCTACCCCTAGGGCCTACCCCTAGGGCTACCCTAGGCCTACCCCTAGGGTCTACCCCTAGGGCTACCCTAGGCCTACCCCTAGGGTCTACCCCTAGGGCTACCCTAGGGCTACCCCTAGGGCCTACCCCTAGGGCTACCCTAGGGCTACCCCTAGGGCCTACCCCTAGGGCTACCCTAGGGCTACCTC